GCAATACACACTGAAGTCCTCAGTTATAGCTGAGGAGCTCTAGCATGCATCTTAGAAGCAGCTTTAAGAAATTTCAATCATATGAGAAAAATGAGCAGAAAAATTAAAAGGTGTGATGACTGGGCAAATGTACTTGTGCCAGTGATGCACTAAATATGCCCATGAGTTCCTCCTGCACCCACAGAGAGTTCACTGCGAGGCTGGGACATAAAAGCCCAAAATCCTGCTTGCTAAATTAGCAGGACCCACTTGCCTCAGATCATGAGCACAATCTGAAAGAAAAGGTATCTTGAGTTTTGAACTACAGCCACACATGGAACCAACCTCCAAACTTCCAGGAATCATTTCTGCTTGGCTCTTTCAAACCTGCTTCAAATGTAATCAATGATTTTAAGACAAGACATAAATTTTTGATTCATCTACTCTTCAAGATAGCCCAGGAGATAAACAGTTTGGCAGCACCAGCCAGGCCTTGCACAGGGCCTACCTGCAGGCCCATGTTTTACAAAGAATGACCGGCCCTGTGCCTGACAAAAACATGGAGAAGGGGAATGAGGATGAAAAATGTGTGTGGGAGAATGCCAGCACACACGCTGCACATGTATGGACTGTAACAATCTCTACACTATGTCAGGGGGAGCATCCAGAGAGCAGGCACAGGGCAATCCCTGATTCCACCACCTTCCGGCCACCTACCTAGCATAAAATAATAGAATAATTAGGGATGGAAAGGACCTCAAGATCATCTAGTTCCAACTCCCCTACCATGGGAAGGAAGACCTCACACTAAACTATGTCATTCAAGACTCCATCCAACCTGGCCTTGAACACTACCAGGGAATGGAGCATTCACAACTTCCTTGAGCAACCTGTTCCAGTGCCTCACCACCCTCACAGTAAAGAACTTCCTCCTAACATCCAATCTAAACTTCCCCTTGTCCTATCACTACAGTCCCTAATGAAGAGTCCCTCCCCAGAATCCTTGTAGGCCCCCTTCAGATACTGAAAGGATGCTACAAGGTCTCTATGCAGCCTTATCTTCTCTGGCTTTCTCAGCCTGCCTTCATACGGGAGGTGCTCCAGTCCCCTGATCATCCTCATGGCACTCCTCTGGACTTGTTCCAATAGTTCCATGTCCTTTTTGTGTTGAGGACACCAGAACTGCACACAGCACTCCAAGTGGGGTCTTGCAAGAGAAGAGTAGATGAGCAGGATCACCTCCTTCGACCTGCTGGTCACGCTCCTTTTGATGCAGCCCAGGATACAGTTGGTTTTCCAGGCTGAGAGTGCACATTGCAGGCTCATGTTCAGTTTCTCATCAACCAACACCCCCAAGTCCTCCTCCACAGGGCTGCTCCGAATCTCTTCTCCACCCAACCTGCAGCTGTGCCTGGGATTGCCTGACCCAGGTGGAGGACCTTGCACTTCGCTTGTTTGAAATTCATGAGGCTGGCATCAGCCCACCTTACAAGCATGTTAAGGTCCCTCTGGATGACATCGCTTCCCTCCAGCTTATCAACTGAACCACATAACATATCTCAGTGTTGTCAGCAAATTTGCTGAAGGCACACTCAATCCCAATGTCCATGTCACCAACAAATATGTTGAACATGATCAATCCCAACACAGACTCCTGAGGGACAACACTTGTTATGGGTCTCCAGCTGGACATCAAGCCATTGACCACAACTCTGCGTGTGACCATCCAGCCAGTTCTTTATCCACTGAGTGGTCCATCAAATTTATGTCTCTCCAGTTTAGAGACAAGAAGGTCCTGCAGGACAGTGTCAAACGCTTTGCACAAGTCCAGGTAGATGATGTCAACTGCTTTGCCCGTATCCATCAGTTCTGTAGCCCCATCATAGAAGGCCACCAAATTGGTCAGGAAGGATTTCCCCTTAGTGAAGCCATGCTGGCTGTCACCAAGCACCTTTTGGTTTTTCATGTGCCTTAGCATGCCTTCTAGGAGAATCTGCTCCATGATCCTGCCAGGCACAGAGGTGAGACTGACTGGTCTGTAGTGCTCTGGGTCTTCCATTTTTGCCCTTTTTGAAACTGGGGACTATATTTCCCTTTTTCCAGTCGTCGGGAACTTTACCTGACTTCCATGATTTTTCAAATATGATGGACAGTGGTTTAACAACTTCATTCACCAGCTCCTTCAGGACCCATGGATGGATTTCATTAAGTTCCATGTTCTTGTGCACATTCAGGTTCTTAAGATGATCTCAAATCTGATCCTCTCCTACAGTGGGCCTAAGGTCTTCAATCTCACAGTCCCTGCAACTGCCTTCCAAAACTTGGGTGGTGGGGTCAAAGCATTTGCCAGTGAAGACCAAGGCAAAGAAGTCATTGAGAACCTCAGCCTTCTCCAGATCCAGGGTAGCCAGTTCTCCTGACAGCTTCAGGAGGGGGCCCATGTTGTCCCTAGTATGTCTTTTGTTTGCTACATACCTATACAAGCCTTTCCTGTTATCTTTCACATCCCTTGCCAGATTTAATTCTAACTGGGCCTTAGCTTTCCTAACCTGGTCCCTAGCTTCCTGGACAACACCCCTGTATTTTTCCCAGACTGCCTCTATCCTCGCTTCCACCTTTTATAAGCTTCCTTTTTTTCCAAGTTTCCTCAGCAGCTGCTTATCCATCTGTCGTGGTTTAAACCCAGTGAGCCACACAGTTTCTACTCCCCTCCGTCTTTCTTTCCTTCCCCCCCCCCCCCCCCCCCCCGAGGGATGGGGAGGAGAATCGAAAGAATGTAACTCCCATGGGTTAAGATAAGAACAGTCCAGTAGCTAAGGTATAACACAAATCACTACTGCTACCACCAATAATAATAATAAGAGAAATAACAAGGGAAGAGAATATCACCCCCTGAAACAAGCCCAACCGAGAAGAGAGAGTGCCCTTGCAGGTAACTCCCAGTTACCTCCCCGGGCATGATGTGCTGTGGTATGGAATACTTCTTTGGCTAGTTTGGGTCAGGTGTCCTGTCTCTGCTTCCACCAGGCCTCCCTTCCTCCCTAGCAGAGTATGAGACTCACAAAGTCCTTGGTCACTGTAAACATCAGTGTTATCAGCTCTGTTCCCAGGCCGAAAGTCAAAACACAGCACTGCACCAGCTATTAAGAAGGAGAAAAACTGACTGCTACTGCTAAACCCAGGACAGTATGTAAGGAGGTCTCCTGGCCCTCCTGCTGCACTTCCTTCTGGTTGGGAAGCAACACTCCTGAGCTTGTAGCAAGTGATCCTTGAATATCAACCAGCAGTCTTGGGCCCCCTGTCCTCTAGGGCTTTACCAAATCGAACCTTACTGAGCAGGTTCCTGAAGAGGCCAAAGTCTGCTCTTTTGAAGTCCAGGACAGTGAGCTTGCTGCATGCTCTTCTCACTGTCCTGAGGATCTCGAACTCTACCATCTCATGATCACTGCAACCAAGGCTTCCTTGGAACGTCATATTCCCCACCAGCCTCTCCCTGTTGACGAGCACAAGGTCAAGCATGGCACCTCTCCTTGTCAGCTCCTCTATTACTTGCAAGAGGAAGTTGTCTTCTACACAATCAAGGAGCCTCCTGGATTGCTTGTGCTGGGCCATACTGTCCCTCCAACAGATATCAGTATGGTTGAAGTCCCCCATGAGGACAAAGGCCTACAAGCGTGAGGCTGCTCCTACCTGTCTATAGAGTGCTTTGTCCACAGAGTCCTCCTTATCAGGCAGTCTGTAACAGATCCCCACAGTTATGTCCCCCATCGCTGTTCTGCCTTTGACCCTGACCCACAAATTCTGTTGACTGTTCACCTGTCCCCAGACAGAGTTCCATACTCTCCAGCCTATCACTGACATAAATAGCTACTCCCCTTCTCCATCTGCCTGGCCTGTCTTTTCTAAAGAGCCCTTAACCTTCCATCCCACCACATTTCTGTGATGCTAATGATACCATATCCCTGTAGCTGTACACACATCTCTAATTCCTCTTGTTTATTCCCCATACTATGGGTGGTTGTATAGAGGCATCTGAGTTGAGCTCTAAATAAAGCTGACTCATTGGCTGGAGTAGCTGAAATACCTCTGTGTTGCTCCAAGCATTTATTGCAGGTGCTGGCAATTAACTGGGAGTGTTGAGATGGATCCATACCCCCCTCCTCCAACGCATCTAATTTAAAGCTGCCTTGACCAGCCTGGCAAGTTTCTTCCCAAAGCAGCTCTTCCCCTTTGTTAGACTAGCTCCACCATCCTTCCAGTAGACCTGGCCTCCCAAATTGAGTCCCATGTTCTAAATAACCAAACCTTTGACTATGGCACCACTGCTCTATTTATTAACCTGGCAAATCCGCCTAGCCTTTTCAAGGTCCTCCCCTTTAAGCTGGAGAATTGATGAAAAAACTATCTGAGCTCCAGAGCCGCTAACCATCTCTCCGAGGGCTCTGTAGTCCTTCTTAATGTTCTCTAGGATACTGCTACCTATATCACTAGCACCCACATGGACCACCAGAAACGGGTGTCAGCGGAACTTACTAGACCAGGCAGCCTCTCAGCAGCATCCCTGATCTGAGCCCCTAGTAGGCAACACACCTCCCTCGAGACTGAGTCAGGCCGACATACGGGTGTCTCTTTACATTTCAAAGCAGAGGCATGCGTCGTTGCAAAAGGGTATTTCGGCACCGCCGCCAACAGCTAAAGGGCCGGGCGTCTCTCGCTGCCCCTTCTCCACGTGGAGGCGGTCATGGGGCGGGCTGGCAGGGGGACGCCAGCCGGGCCCATTCCATTCCAGGGGTTCGCTCCGGGTTCCCCTGACCTTGGCCCGACTACGGCCACGACCCGCCTCATCCGCCAGCCGTGACGCCAGCGCCATCACATACCCGCCCACGGCCCCAATGCCGCCTACCTCCCTCCTCCCAGCCCGGGGAAGCCGCTTCATCCCTTCCCTCCCCCACTTCCCGCACGTCCCGGGCCCTGGCCGCGTCCCTCCTCCCGCGGCCCGGCCCGGCCTCCTTGGCCTTTACCTTTTCGTACTCCTGGCGGAGGCGACCCACCAGCGCGGGGCTGAACGGCGAGGCGCCGCCGAAGGCCTCCATGCCCCCCGGGCAGGGTCCGCAGTCTCTGGGAGAGCCGCTCCGCGGCGCGGGGAGGGTGGCGAGGGGTAGCAGGCGGCCGGGCAGGGCCGGGCCGATCTCCTCAACAGAGCGAGTAAGTCCTATAGAAATGTTTGTGGAAGACGAAGCGCCTGCTCCAAAGTCGCATCCACGCGAGGATCGTCACCGCCTGGGCCCAGAGAAGCATCTCACACTCGCATTCTGGGCCGCACAGCAGTCTGGGCCCGGCTCCCGCTGCGCCGGCGGGCCGGGAAAGTGCCGGCAGCTCGGTGCCGACCGCCGCCTGTCCGCTGCACTCTGGGTAGCCAGTCAACCCACCCGGCAGCTCGCCGCGGCAGCGGGAAACGCACGGCTACGAGGCGCGAGAGGCGGCCCTGACGGCTCCCTCCACCACTGCGGCGGGCTGGGGGCGAGTAGCTGCCTCAGCATCCCACGTCCTGTCACCGGACACGGGTGCCCTCACCCTGCATTTATTCAGAGCACAGTCCCAGGCCTTGAGTGCATAACATCGAGCCACCCTAATGCAAAGGGGTTTGATAGCCCTACAGTCACAGAATCACAGACTGGTTGGGGCTGGAAGGGACCTTAAAGCTTATCTAATTCCAACACTCTGCCACATGGAGAGACACGTTCCATTAAACCAGGTTGCTCCAAGCCCCATCCAACCTGGCCTTGAACACTTACAGGGATGGGGCAGGCACAACTTCTCTAGGCAACCAGTGCCACTGCCTCACCAACCCCTCACAAGGAAAAAATTCTTCCTAATACCTAAATACATAGAACAATGCGTCTTTTATAACAGGGAGGTGACATTACAATAACTGATGCCAAGCCTCATAAAATGGGTTGGTAGGGACATTAAAGCTCATCCAGTTCCAGACCCCTGCCACAGGGAAACACTTTCCACTAGACAAGGTTGCACAAAGCCCCATCCAAATACTTGCTCTGTAGTGCTGGTGGTGTCAGGATATCCAAAAGTGAATAGAGAGTAGGCTGCAGTGATCACTTGGGTCAGGGCAATCCCAAGTACAGCTACAGGTTGGGCAGAGAAGCGATTCAGAGCAGCCCTGCAGAAGACTTGGGGGTGTTGGTCAATGAGAAACTGAGCCCTGTTGTCAGATCCTCTTCTCTTGACCAACCAGGCAACTTAGGGTAAATGTGTATCCCAGTGTTTGAAAGTCCCACCACCCATTGCTCTCAGTGTAGTTTTTAACAGCCCATTGTACCGTTCCATTTTCCCAGAGGCTGGTGCATGGTAGGGGATGTGATATACCCACTCAATGCCATGCTCTTTGGCCCAAGTGTCTATAAGGTTGTCCTGGAAATGAGTCCCACTGACTCAATTTCCTCTTGGGGTGCCGTGTCACCACAAAATCCATTTCTCAAGGCCCAGGATAGTGTTCTAGGCAGTGGCGTGGGGCACAGCGTATGTTTCCAGCCATCCGGTGGTTGCTTCCACCACGGTAAGCACATTGCGCTTGCCTTGGCGGGTCAGAGGGAGTGTGATATAGTCAATCTGCCAGGCCTCCCCATATTTGTACTTCAGCCATTGTCCTCCATACCAAAGAGGCTTTAACTGCTTAGCTTGCTTAATTGCAGCACATGTTTCACAGTCGTGAATAACCTGGGCAATAGTGTCCATTGTTAAGTCCACCACTCAATCATAAGCCCATTTATATGTTGCATCTCTGCCCTGATGGCTTGAAGTGTCATGGGCCCACCAGGCCAAAAATAATTCATCCTTATGTTGCCAATCTAAGGCACTTCAATCTTAGCAGCTTTATCCAATTGTTGGTTATTCTGGTGTTCCTCGATGGCCTGAAGTGTCATGGGCCCACCAGGCCAAAAATAATTCATCCTTATGTTGCCAATCTAAGGCACTTCAATCTTAGCAGCTTTATCCAATTGTTGGTTATTCTGGTGTTCCTCAGTGGCCTGACTCTTAGGTACATGTGCATCTATATGGCGTACCTTCACCACCAGATTCTGTACCTGGGCAGCGATATCTTGCCACAGGGCAACAGCCCAGGTGGGTTTACTTCTGTGTTGCCAGTTGCTCTGCTTCCATTGCTTCAACCACCCCCACAGGGCATTTGCCACCATCCATGAGTCAGTATAAATTACTGGCCACTTTTCTCATTCAGCAGTGTCCAAGGCCAGTCAAGGACTCTATACAGCTGCCTTCCATTTCCGATGCTTTCCCACAATACGGCAGGACCCATCGGTAAACAAGGCATAATGCTTTTCACTTTCTGACAGTTTATTATATGGTGAGGCCTCTTCAGCACGCATCACCTCCTCCTCTGGTGACATTCCAAAATCTTTGCCCTCTGGCCAGTCCATGATGACTTCTAGAATGCCTGGACAACTGGGATTTCCTATTCGAGTTCGTTGTGCAATTTGTGCATCCCACTTGCTCCATGTAGAATTGGTTGTATGATGTGTAGAGGAGACGGTGCCTTTGAACATCCAGCCCAGCCCAGGCAGACAGGGTGCCAGGAGGAGCTGTGCTTCAGTACCAATCACTTCCGAAGCAGCTCAAATCCCTTCATAGGCTGCCAGTATCTCTTTTTCAGTTGGGGTATAGCCAGACTCAGATCCTCTGTATCCCTGACTCCAAAAGCCGAGGGGTCGACCTCGAGTCTCCCCCTGGAGCTTTCTGACAGAGGCTCCAGATAGGACCATTCTCCCCAGCTGTGGTGTAGAGCACATTTTTTACCTCTGGCCTGGTCCAGACTGGTCCAAGAGCTACTGCATGAACTATCGTTTAATTTGCTCAAAGGCTTGTTGTTGCTCAGGGCCCCATTTGAAATAATACTTCCAGGTTACATGATAGAGAGGGCTTACAATCAGACTGTAATTTGGGATGTGCATTCTCCAGAACCCCACAAAGCCCAAGAAAGCTTGTGTTTCTTTCTTATTAATTGGTGGAGACATTGCTGTTATCTTCTTGATCACATCTGTGGGGATCTGGCGACATCTATCTTGTCATTTAATTCCCAGAAATTGAATCTCCTGTGCAGGTCCCTTGACCTTACTCCATTTTATGGCAAAACCGGCTTTCAGCAGGATTTGGATTATTTTCCTCCCTTTCTCAAAGACTTCTTCCACTGTATCACCCTTCACAATAATGTCATCAATGTATTGCAGGTATTCTCTGCAGGTTGCCCCTGTTCCAGTGCAGTCTGGATCAGTCCATGGCAGATGGTAAGGCTGTGTTTCCACCCCCGGGGCAGTCAGTTCCAAGTGTACTGGACACCCCTCCAAGAAAAGCGAACTGCATCCTGCACTCTGCTGACAGAGGAATTGAGAAAAATGCATTGGCAATATCAAGTGTGGCATGCCACTTGGCTGCCTTTGACTCCAGTTCATATTGAAGTTCTAGCATGTCTGGTATGGCAGCACTCAATGGTGGTGTGACTTCATTCAGGCCACGATAGTCTACTGTTATTCTCCACTCTCTGTTAGACTTTCTCACTGGCCATACAGGGCTATTAAAGGGTGAGCGGGTCCTACTGCTCACTCCTTGGTTCTCCAGTCTACGGATCAGCTTATGGATGGGAATCAGGCAGTCTCAGTTGGTGTGATATTGCCGCCACTGCACTGTTGTGGTCATGATAGGCACTTGTTCTTCGACCTTCAGCAACCCCACAACAGAAGGATCCTCTGAGAGACCAGGCAAGGTGAACAGCTGCTTAATTTCCTCTCTCTCCAAGGCAGCAATACCAAAAGCCCATTGTTACCCTTTTGGGTCTTTGAAGTACCCTCTCTTGAGGTAGTCTATGCCAAGGATGCATGGAGCCTCTGGACCAGTCACAATAGGGTGCTTTTGCCATTCCTTCCCTGTCAGGCTGATTTCAGTCTCCAGTACACTCAGCTCTTGGGATCCTCCTGTCACTCCAGAAATCCAAATGGGTTCTACCCCTTGACAGTTTGATGGCATCAGGGTACACTGTGCACCAGTATCTACTAGAGCCTTATACTCCTGTGGGACTGGCGTGCCAAGCCATCTGATCCACACAGTCCAGTAAATCAGATTGTCCCCTGCCTTCACCTGACTGGAGGCAGGGCCCCTCTAATAGTCATCACATTGGTCACTTATGTCTTGTTCGCAGGGATTAGTCTTTATCACAGGAGCTGGAGTAAAATCATCTCTTCCACTCCATCTAGGAACCTGCTCACCAGAGACTGAAGCCACAGCTTTCATGGGATGATCAGCCTTGACCTTTGTTCTCCTCTTCAATTCACGCACCTGTTCCTCCAGAGCTGAGGTAGGTTTTCCATCCCACTGTCTCGTGTTTTCTCTGTGATCCCACAGGTAAAACCATAGGGTGGCCCATGGCGTATACATTCTATATCTTCTCTCTTGATAAGTAGGATGCCTTTTGTTAATAGCTGAGACCTGTGTCGGTATACGTGAGGAGCTGGACAGATTGGATAGGTCGTCTCCCAATTGTTTGAGGTCCTGGGACAGTTTTTCCACAGCTGAAACAATGGAAGGGGTGAGATTGCCTTCGAACTCTCAGAGTTTGTGAACCATTTCACCCACTGTTGGTGGTGCTATGTCATTCCAGGTTACTGTTGCCAATGAATGGGAATATGATGACAGTGCATTCCGTGTAAGTTTTTGCCACATGGGTTGTGTACATTCTACTTCATCTGGATCTATGGGTATATCCCCCTTATTCGTCTTGATGTGATAGATCATCTCTACAATGGATGATTCCCTCAGAGACTGGATGCCTTTCTCTAGAGTAATCCACTTGGCTGAATGACTCATAACATCGTCCTTTTATGGAAACCTTTCTTTCACAGCTTCCAAGAGATGCTTCCAAAGGCTGAGGGACTTTTTCTCTCTTGCAATTGCTCTGTCAATTCCCCCTTCTCTAGCAAGTGATCCAAGCTGCTTGGCTTCCCTCCCTTCTAGTTCTTGACCATTGTCCCCATTGTCCCAGCATGGAAGCAACCAGGTGATGATGCGCTCCCCTGGTTGACAGGTAAAATCTTTTTGCATATTCCGTAGCTCGGTTGAGGTTCGGGGTAGAGACATCACCTCTTCTTCCTCTGATTCACACAATAATATCTCCTGGTCAGATACTGTCCCGAGTGGTGAGTACATTGTTTCTTCATCTTGCTTCATCTTTCTTGACTCTTTTTTTGCTTTTCCCCTTGTGTACAGGAGCAACCGATATTGGCACAAATTGGTCCTCTGGTGTAGCTGCTGTGCTTGGAGTTGGATTAGTTGTGCTGTCTGTTGCAGTCGAAGTTTGGGTAGCTGCTGTACTTGTCACTGGGGCTGGTGTAGCTGCTGTGCTTGGAGATGGAGTAGCTGCACTGTCTGTTGCTTTGCCATCAGATCCAGGGAAATTTTTTTCCTTTTGAAGGTGCTGGATAGTGTTGAACAGGGCTCTGTAAGCGTAGGCCAAGCCCCAGCATGTTGCCATTATTTGTCCCTCTCTGGTATGGCCAGGATGACAACACACCTCATTTAAGTGTTTTAATAATTTTTCTGGGTTTTGTTCTTGTTCAGTGGTGAAATTCCAAAGCACTGGAGGGGCCCGCTGCCCTAGATACTTGCCCATACTATCCCACACACCCTGCCACTCATGACTGTCCAGCCTTGGCGAAAATCTCCTGGTCCTCCTATATCATCTAACCCTAGACAAGGCCCAAACCCGACTCTGCTTAACTCTTGAGATCAGACAATATGGTTGTGGGTAAAACACACTCTGTATGTGTGCCAACATGGTGATCCCCATCACAATCAGCAGGCAGGTCTCAAGGGTACCTAAAGGCCATTCAAAACCTTCAGAACTCTCAAATGATGCTGTAAGTAAGTGGTCTGGGGGGGGGGGGGGGGGCTGGGAGCATCAGGGAATGTCTCCCTCATGGGTTGACCCCCCGAGGAGGGAAATAAAGATCTGTAATTGTTAAAAACTTCTATTATATACTTCCCAAGGTATAGAGGTCATGACCACACTGGGAACACAAGGCAGATCAGTTTCATGATCAATGATTCTGTTGTATTACAAGTCATTACCATAAAGTACAATGAGACAAGAACCTTAGCCCAAGGCCCCCAGCTGATAAACACTAACACTACTATTAAGCATAACAAACTTGACAATCTGATTCAAGAATTTCCTAGTACACTAATTATTAGTAAGTGTGCTATGGAAGAATGCCCCAGATATTTGTCGCATTTATTATCCCCTCCCTAGCCACCTGCATCTGGCTAAGGGAAATGCAAGTAGCTCAACATGACCATTTTATCCTAGTATCCAAAAATGAAGTTTTAATTGATAAGCAGTACTGGTAAATTAAGAGAAAGTTATTACATTATTCATACCCCAACTTCCACACTACTAGCAGTCACAACCTGAGAAACCTTAACTGACCATAATTAAAAGTAAAATAGGAATATACATAAAACCAGTTGTTTCAGCATTTTTATTGAAAATGGACACACAGACATAGCAGCATTTACAATGAAGAGTTTAAAAAAAGGCATCAATTTATAAGCCAACCATTTGAAAAAGAGGCTTTGAAATGTTGTATTCCACAGCACTTTTTGCCTGCTTGTCAACAGGGGACAGTGACTACAGATTATCCAAAGGACAAACAGGCACAGTAACTAATCTAAACTTCAAGTCCTTTTCCTAAACAGTTGGTCACATCAAGCATCATGTTCTGCAGCAGCATTTGGAGCACTCTTCAGTGTTCTTTTAAGTGGCTGGTGTACTTGATCCATTTCTTTAAAATACTTTAATATTCAATAAAAGTATTTCAAATAGAAATTTTCTTCTGTCATGAAAAAAGGTTTCCTTTCC